CCCCCCCCCGCAGCCTCACCCTCCTCCAGCACCACGTGCCTGTGCTGTTGCTCTAGACTGCCTCCTTGGTAGCCCGCGCCCCCACCCCCACCGTGGAATCGAGCCTGCCCCATTGCTCTCAGGCTGCCTTTCTATCTGTGTTCTAGCAGAGTTTCTGCCCTATGATGGTTTGGGTACCGAACCTGTCTGCTTCCCCAGCAACGTTTGCATCTCAGTAGATGTCTTCAGATTAAATTTAAATCAGAGGCCCCATCACTGTCCCTGGTTGGAGATAGGGATGCCTCCCACCTTGCAGGGCTTGCAGGAAGACAGACACCATCGGGTGGGGAAAGAGCTTAGCCCGGTGCCCAGCAGTGTGGTGGCGCAGCCAGGCAGGCACATCCCTGTCCTTTCCCAGCTGTGCTAGTGACCCCGGAGCCCAGGGTTCCACACACGCAAGCCGGCTACTCGGGTTCTCAGCCCCAGGGAGGCTGAAGGCCTGAACGGAAGTAGGAAATGGGGCACCACGGTGTGAAAATGTCGCAGGAAGTCCTGTGGCTTCTCACCAGACACAGGAGGCTTGTGAGGTTTAAGTTTTGGGTCACGAAAATCACTTTCCAGTCTGCTCAGTAGTTATAGCTTCTGTTTACGCCGAGACCAGAACTCTGTCCCAAGTCTGGCTGAGGAGTGGGAGTCTGGTAGAGCCGCAAACCCCCAACCTCCCACACATACACAGGCGGGGCCTTTGGCTCTGAAGCCCGAGCCCCCAGGCAGTGTCTGCAGCGAGGGAATGAAGATTGCTTATCAGGTGAGTGTCTTCATTTAGTCAGCCAGCACTTGTGGAGCGCTCAGAAGGCAGGGGTGTGCTCCCAAGAAGATGGAGCCTGCTGAGACAACACAGAAGCCACCCGGAAGGGTCCCACCGGCCAAAGCTGGGACGATTTGAGCATCAGTATAAATACTAATAGTACTGGATTGCAAGTGCAGAATAAAGTAAATATCCTGAGTCGACACGAGTGTAAATAAATAAAGGGGAGAGATGGGATGGCTCTTCTTTACAGTGGAATTCCACTTAATAAATGTAGAAGGAAATAGAAAATCCTCATTATTTGTGACAGACAAAATTCAGTCATGGTGCTAAAATTAGTGGGCAAAAGTTTGAGGAGAAACAGGGTTGGCATAGTCTCAAAATACCTCCCCTGAGATATTTGTGTTAGTTTTCTATTGCTGCTGTAACAAATTACCTCAAACTCAGTGGTTTAAACGATACAAATCTATTATGTTACACATCTGTATGTTAGAAGGCTGCCTCGGGTCTCACTAGGCTAAAGCCAAGGCATTGGCAGGCCTGTGTTACTTCCTGGAGGCTCTAAGGAAGAAGCCGTTTCTTTGCCTTTTCCTGCTTCTAGAAGCCACCCACATTGCTTGGCTCATGGCTCCTTCCATTTTCAAAGCCAGCGACATAGCATCTTTCTGACCCTCTTACGTTGTCATTGCCTTATCTGCTTCCGCCTCTCTTCTGCTTCTCCACTTTTAAGGACACTTGTGATTACGTTGGAGCTCTGGTGGTGCAGTGCTTAAGCATTCGGCTGCTAACCGGAGGTCAGCAGTTCGAATCTACCAGCCGCTCCTTGGAAACACTATGGGGCAGTTCTGCTCTGTCCTATAGGGTCGCTATGAGTCGGAATCCAATTCAAAGGCAATGGGTTAGGTGTGATTACACTGGACCCACCTGGATAACCCAAGATAATCTCATTAGTAAACTGATTATCGTTGGGTGCCATGGAGTCAATTTCGACTCGTAGTGACCCCGTGTGAGAGAGTAGAACTGCCCCCATAGGGTTTTCTTGGCTGTAATTTTTACAGAAGCAGATCACCAGGTCTTTTCTCCAGGAGCGGCTGGGTGGGTTTGAACCGCCAGTCTTTGCGTTAGCAGCTGAGTGCTTAACTATTGTGCTACCAGGGATCCTTAGCAAACTGATTAACCTTAATTCAGCTTTGCCAGGTACCCTACCATATTCACAGGTTCCAGAGATTAGGGCATGGACACTTTTAGGAGGCCATTATTCTACGCACCACAATATTTATTAACTATAAAGGGAAGCAGTAGTTGGGCAGTGATAAAACATAACACCCCAGTGATAAGATGTATTGACATCAGGAGCCCTGTGATATGATGCATTGGGAAGGTGGGCATTTGACAAATGACCAAACCCACAGCTGTTGAGTTGACTCCAACTCATAGAGACCTGCTTGGACTGAGTAGAACTGCCCCATGGCGTTTCTAAGGCTGTAAGTCTTTATGGAAACAGACTGCCACATCTTTCTCCCACAGAGCAGCTAGTGGATTCGAACTGCCGACCTTTTGGTTGGCAGCCAAGCGCTTTAACCACTGTGCGACCAGAGCATCTTTAAATAAATGACCAATATCCTTCAAAAGAGTCAAGGTCATAAAAGACGAGGGAAGACAGGAACTGTCGCAGATTGGAGGCAACTAAGGAGACACAATTAATTGCAATGTGGGATCTTGGAACAGGAAGGGGACACGGGAAAACTGAAGAACTCTGAATAAGGTCTTGAGTTTGGTTAACAGTGTAAATGACTGTTCAAATGCCACTTGTGAAGGCACGGGAAAGGTGACCACATGCACGTACCGTGCGCGGTTCTCAGAGCTCAGAACGCTCTCCTGCTTCAACACTTGACAGAGCCAGTCATTGCCGGGTGGAAGGACATGTCACTAGATTTTTTTTTTTCTTTATACTTTGCAGTAACACAGTGAACACGTATTAACATTCATAACCAGAAGAAAAAATATGAAATAATGCCTACCCTGTTTTTCTCAGAGGACATGATGAAGATTTCTAAACGTAATTTAAAGTGCTTTGAAAAAGCATAAGCTATGTATATAGAGTTTTATGGCTAGCATACAAGGGCAGGGGCCGAGTCGTAAGATCCATCACTGCTTTCTGCAGTGGGACAACACGTGTAATAAGCTCTCAGACTTTCGTTGAGTACGTGACTGAATGTTTTTAGATTATGCACTGTGTACGTATAACTGCTCAACAGCAAAAAGAAACACCCGCGGTTTCGTGACAGCTTTTTCCACCATCAGTTCTGTTCAGCCACAACCTTAGATTGCCTGACATGGAAATGCGTGACAGGGCTGGAGGGAGGCCTCGTTGGGGACAGCATCTGCCCATGCTGCCGTCCCTAGCAGCGTAGCTGGACACCCTGCTTGGGAGGGGCCCCCACCGCAGCCACCAGGTACTGAGTGAACATCAGCCATGTGCAGAACACGCAGGGTGCCTGGGACAGAGCTTCTGAGGGGGTTTTAAAATACGTTCACAGATTCTTTACACCCCTCCCCTCAAAAGGTGGAGCCTGACTCCCGCCCGTCGAGTGTAGGCTCTTCTTGGTGACTCCTAACAAGTGGAGTGTGGCAGAAGTGATGGTGTGAGACTAACAGGATCAGTTCATAGTGGCTTCCTTCTTGCTCCGTTGGATTGCTTACTAGGGGGTTGGGGTGGTGGCTGCTACGTTGGGAGGACGTTCAAGCAGCCCGTGAGAGTCCCTGAGAGAGGTACGTGAGGCCTCCTGCCAACAGCCACCATGTGAGTGAGCATCTTGGAAGTGCCTCCGCCAGCCCTCAGATGACTGACCACAGCCTCCTCGGCACCATCCTGAATGAAACCTGAAACCGTGAACCAGAACCGCCCAGCTGCTGAATTCCTGACTTGGAGAAACTGTGAGATAATGTTTGTTTTAAGCCCCTAGGTTTTGTGGCAATTTGTTACACTGCTGTAGATAACTAACATAACTGAGGCTTCTCGTGGCAGGCTTCCCAGCAGGAGTCTCACCGTCGCTTTTTAAGGAAAAGTATGATCAATCTGTGAAGGGTTCCCCACCCCCACCTGATACCACAGGCTCCTAGTGGTGACTGCCACTGAATGCCTCTCCAGGGCCCTCCTAAGAATTAGGAAGCTTTGGCCTGTGGTCAGCCTGGTCTGGGGACACCAGGGTCCGTGTGGGCTAGTATGTGATGTGCACATGTCTGTCCTCAGAACACAGGCTCCAGCAGGACTCCTGCAGGTCTGCAGGCTGCCCACCTGATAGGAATATCCTGAACATGACGTGTCCTGTCCCCTGCCACACTTTGCAGCCCTGCCGTGCAGATTCCTGATGTCTCCATCTCTTCACCGGCTGCTTCGCGTCCCAGGTTCTGACTTTCCCACCTCTCCCTGGACAGGGCGAGTGCTCCTTCCTGCAGAAATGTCACTAGGACCGCCTTGGGGAGGGCCAGTGTGCACAGGAGGGGGCCGAGCTGGCTCTCCATCATGGAGAGCAGGCACCTTCCTGCGTCTGGATGTGAAGTCCATGTGTGGGCCCAAGTATGGCCAGTGTCACCATCCTCTACCAAACGTGCCCTCCCTAGTGGCTGGGGCCTGTGGAGCAGGCGTGCCCACCAATGTGGGGCAGGAGGTCTGTGAACTACTCTTCTTACCACTCAGCCCCCATCCTGTGGTCAGATCTGTGGCCTTGAGCATCAGCTGCCCGGGCGATGGCACAAAGCCCCTCTGCAGTCACCCCAGGACCTGTAAGTGGGAGAAGCTCACAGGGCTGAAAGGTGAGCCACACCAGAGGAGGACCCCAAAGTCCTGAGGCTGGGGTGCAGAGGGCAAGCCTCCACCCTCTTGTAGACTCAGGAAGGCCCTGACCTGTCCTACTTAGCAGTAGCTGACTAGAGCAAACAGCTTGTCCCCAGGGAGAGTAGGGGTGCCCAGGCGGCAGCCCTGCCCCAGTCGGCACCACCCACAGCTGTGGGCGCCACCTCCTCCCCTGCCACCCCGCAAACCCTTGGGCTCAGAGAGGAAAGTGGGTTTGCTATGGCATTTTCACACTCATTTCTTAAAAACTGCCATTGTCATTAGAACAGTCCATAATCATGGTAACAGAAACGAGATGTGTCACAAGCTCTGGTTTGAGGTGACGTGCCACACGCCAGAGGACGGAGCAGTGACCACCATGGAGGCAGGACACATGCTGGAACGGTTTCACCCACTTCTTAAACACAGCAGTTTCTTCTTTAATCATCCGTTTGATTTCATTTTTAGGTTCACTTTCAGGATGGGGGAAGAAGCCCTGGTGGCGCAGTGGTTAAAGCGATCGACTGCTAACTGAATGGTCGGCAGTTCAAAACCACCAGCTGCTCCACGAGAGAAAGAAGTGGCAGTCTGCTTCCGTAGAGATTTACAGCCTTGGAAACACTATGGGGTCGCCGTGAGTCAGAATGGACTCAACAGCAGTGAGCAGGTTTCACTGTGGGGATAAGATTTGTGCACAGGACACTAGGCTTCCGCTCTGAACACCGTCCCCACCAGAAGACCTTCCACCCTCGCTTCTCTTTCCGCGTCCCACAAAAGCCACATGATGGGCACCGCTGGCCTACTCCTGGGTGTCATTCCCTCTGGGGGCTGTCCCTACTTCCCTCTAGTCCCATGGTACCACTGCAGGGCATCAGGATCCACCCTGCCCCTGGCGCAACCTGGAAGACCAGCCCCCCTACACACACACAGGTCTCCTGGTGGGTGGAAAGTGGGGTCCTGGGGCTACAGCCAGCAAGTTTCTGGGGTGCTGGTTCTGGGTCATGTGAGAACTTGTAGCGGGTCCTCCTCACGCTTTACACCCAACAGACGCTCAACAGGGGCCCGCCCCGGCCCCCAGCTGTGGGGTAGGCCTGCCATGGGGAAGGGGAGGGTGTTGTACACACACCCCACGTCCAGGCAGGTGGCAATTCTCAAAGGCCAGCACTAGGGGATCCAGAGGAAGGGAAGGACACAGTCCCAGGGGTTCTTGGTAGAAGAGGCCTGGAGCCAGGTCTCCAACCTCCATGCCCCACTGGTGGGGCCTGCAGCTGGGAAAATTAGGACAGGCCCTGTGCAGGGAGGCTGGCCCGGGGAGTCCTGTCCCTTTCTCTCCCAACACCTGAATCTAGGCAGCTCGTCCCAGGGATCCCTTGCCCCACACTGTCTCCTTGGACTCCCTGAGGAGGACTTCAAGCTGCCACTCACACCTGGCCACACCTGCCCAGAATGGGGGGAGGGGCAGAGCAGCAGGCACAGTTAAGAGGCAAGCACCCAAAGGGCAGTGGGCTTCAGGAGTGTGCTGAGAGCCCTGGAGGGAGTCAAGGCTTCCTCGGGCCAGGGGATCTTTAGAGGTGGATGCACTTCTGAGTGAGTGGGGCCAAGGAGGTGTCACTGCTGCCTACAACTCTCTGGGCCCAAGCAGCCCGCACTGATTCTCTGGCGGGAAATGCCCACTCCCCTGCACACACCTGGGACACATCCCGCGCCTTCCCCACTTCAGCCCTTGTTCCATCACTGGGGCAGGTGACCTGAGGACTCCTGGGTCTCTGCATCCCTTCCCCGTCATAGACCGACCACATTAGAGGGACCTCCACCCCTCAAGCCCCCAGTTCTGAAAGCCTTTGCCACAAGGAACCCCGGGGACCAGCCCCATTACTGCTCTGCATCTTCTTCCCCCCACCTCGTGCACCATGCCCCTTCCCCAGAGGAAGACGCTGTTGTCTTGCCTGTCCCCGGAGCTGGCTCCCATGACCAAGGTACTAACCCCGACAACCTAGCGTAGAGATCCACGTGTCCATACCACCGCTGGTTGGATTTATTAAGGTCAAATCCCCATCCACCAAGAGGCCACCAAGAAGAGACCCAGCAGCCGCCTGGCCTGGCGCCCAAACTAAGGGGCCGAGTCCTCCACCCTGGAGCTCCTCCAGGGAGAAGAGAGCCTGTGGTCAGCAAACAAGGACTGGACAGCTAAGACTGCGGGGAGAGAAGCCTGGAGCTGGGTGCAGGGAGAGGAGCAGGAACAGAAGGCGCATCTAGACAAAGTGAAACAAAACAAAACCAGAACCCGACTGTGTCTTGTCTTGGCTCAGGACCCAGGCGCCAGGTGTAGAAAGGCCTTTAGCCGGACATCTCCTCCCGCTGCTCTTTGTTCCTGCGCACCTCAGCCGCGTGCAGCTCCTGTGGACATTAAGGGAGGAGGACAATGGGGGGCGGCTCTGCCCCCTCTGGGCACTCCGGAGCCCTGGGCCCTGCCAACCCAGGCCGCTCAGGTCCCAGCTTCGAGGACTTGACGTAGGAGGACAGCTTAGCGACCAAGACTGAGGAGCGGCTGGCAGGGGGAGGCCCGGGTCACAGCCTCAAAGGGCGGCCAGCTTCCGGCTTAACGGAGAGGCAGAAGCAGCAGCCTTAGGGCGGTGGTGGCCCTCGGGTCCCACAGAAGCTTCCTCAGGGGTGCAGGCTCCGGAACTCCCTGGAGTAACCCGGCCCCACCCCTGTGCCCAAGCAGCCTGAGGGGTAGCGGATGCCGCAGAGGAAGGAAGCCAAGGCTGGGCCCTGGGCAGGGAGGCTGACTTGGGGCTCTGTTCCTTTCCCTCCCAACGTCGGAATCGGCCTGCCTCGCCCTGGCTGGCCCTGAAGCAGGACAGTGAGTCGCGGGAGCGCTGTGGGCAGTGAGCGAGTCAAAGGATGGGTGGGGCTCTTGGGAGCTTTTTGGCCCCTAACCGAAAGCAGCTCCTCCTACTCTTGTCTTGTACCGGGATGCGCTTCAGAGTTAACTAGCCTATTCGCGAGTGCTGTGGCCACCAACTGTGGCCCCCTGCTGGTCACGCTGGGCGAAGCCCTCCCTCCCCGGCCCCCGCCAGAACTCCGCCCATGCACCCAAGCTCCACCTCCAGCACCACCCCCAAGCTCCGCCTTGTCCTTAGCCCTGCCCACACCCTAAGCTCCGCCCAGCCCAGAGCTTCACCTCGCCCCAATCTCCGTCCCGGGCCCCCACACCAAGCTCCACCTCTGCAATCCCTGCCTTGCCCCAAGCTCCGCCCCAGGTCCCACCCCACCCTGAGCTCCGCCCCCCAGGTCTGCCCACACCCCAGCTCTGCCGACTCCGAGTTCCGCCCACACCACGCCCCCTGAACTGTACCCCTGTACCCATGAGCTCTGCCGGAGCCCCCAGCTCCGCCCCTGGACCCAGCCCTGCCCCCACGCGAGCTCTGTCCCACCCAAACCGCGCCCTTAAGCCCCTCCCCGCGCACCTTCTCACGCAGCCGCTCGCGCAGCGCTGCCAGGTGCGCCTCGCGGATCTCCTTGCTGAGCTCCATCTTGTAGTTGAGCTTCTCCTCCGCCAGGCGGCTGAAGTTGTTGTTCTCCTCCAGCGCCTTGTGCAGTACCTCGCGCTCGTGCTCACGCCGCTCCGCCAACTGCTTCAGCACCTGCGCCTCCTGTGTCTGCTCCGGGACCGGCGGGGGCGGGGGCGTGAGGCCGCTGCGCCTATGGGGCGCCCCTCCCGCCGCTGTCCTCCTCCCAGAGCTTACCCGCGGCAAATCCCCCAGCACACCTCCACCTGCCGTCGCCACATGCCCAGAGCCTCGGTGGGTGCCTTGGCCCCCAGGCGCTGCCCCGGGAACAACCTTCAATCTTCACGCAGGCCTGGGCTGAGGCAGGGGTGGGGAGGGAGGGAAATCCCGCTTCTGCCGCTCCCTGCTCTGCCCCTCCCTAATCCCCGCCTAAACTTGCTTTTCACTGACCATCCCTGCCCGGCGCACCCATTCCTGCTGGCCTGGCCTCCACCCAGTGCCCACCAGACACAAGCCTTCAAAGAGGCTGTCCTGCCGTCCCTGAGGGTAACCACCTCCCCTCGGTCTGGCCAGGACTTTCCAGGCTTAGCACTGAAGGCGGTTAGTACTGAAAGTTCCGCTGCCAGGGTCCCCGCAATCCCTGCAAACCTGGCCTGTGCTCACTCTTTCCACCTGGCCTTGACCCTGCAGAACTGCCCCTCTCCCTAGGCAGGCACCCTGCAGCAGGCGGCCTGCTCCTCCTGCCTCCAAAGTCTGTGGGCCCTCACGGGGCCTCTGTCGCCCCTCCTGGACGTCTTCTGAGCACAGACTAGGTGCTCAATGCACCAGGTCTGAGCTCCCAATTAGGCCAGCTCTGCGGTGCAGTGGTCCCCAGGGAGGAAAGGAAGGGAGTCAAGCAAGCATGGGACTGCAGGCACCAGACTGTCCAGCCCTGGTAACCAGGAGGAGAGCAAGGAGACAGACTCCTAGGGGCAATAAGCCCTAGTTGTGGTCTCTACCCATGTGCCCGTTCTTGCTGGTTAACCCTACAAGGTCTGCGTCCTGTGAGCTGGACAAAGCCATTCTCCCTGCCCGATGGTCAAGGGCCAGCTTGGGCACCGGGACGCTCCCCTCTCTCTGTTTGTTTCAGCCTCTCCTGAGGCCACCAACTGACCCCTCCTGGCCATGGCCAAAGGTGGGCCCCAGAACGGTGCCTGGTCCCATCTCCCTCTACTGCCTGCTACCTTGGGGTGCTTCCTCCTCCCTCTCTTGTTGCCATCTCTCTGGAAGGGAAGTCCAAGGATTCACGAGCCTTTGCCCAGCACAGGCACCTGTGCCTCACGACCCTCGTCCACACCCTCCATGCCCCTCCTTGCACCCCAGTGGGAGGGGCTCCCCACCTTCCTCCGCTCCTCAGCTGCCTCCAGCCGTTTCTGCAGCTCCTCCAGGGAGACGTCCTTCTTCTTGGGGGGAGAGGAGAGCATGGGGCTCTCTGGGGAAAGGTCGGAGGGGGTCTTGAGGATGACCTCGAAACTCTGGCCAGAGGCCCGCTTGTCCAGCTGCTTCACCTCCATGTCTGCAGGGGAAACGGACAGCTGCTCCCACAGGTGCTGGGCCGGCTCTCGCAAGGCTCCCCAGGTCTGGGGCCCAGGATCTGCCCCCTTCCCCTAGACACCTCCCTCTCCAGCAGGCAGCCAGGCCAGGAGGCTTCATTTGGCATGGGAAGTGGGGGGCCAAGACAGGGTGGGGGGCAGGCACTGGCCAGGGCAGGGGCCACAGTCCTGGCCAGCAGGGGGACACTCACCCCCATACTGGTAGATGGTGTTGGGGTGCGGCTGTGAGTAGAAGCAGGAGCAGATGAGCGACAGCACAGACAGCTCCTTCATCTTCTCCTTGTAGGCTGTGGGCAGGCGTGAGGCCAGCATGAGGCCAGCGTCCAGCACCACACCTCCAGGGCCCCACCTCCTCCCTGGCTGGCCCGGGTGTGCTGGCCCAGTTCTCCAGCTCTGCCTCTGGGGGAACTCTCTGTGAGACCTGTATCTTGTTCTTCTGTGTGCTCTGACATCCCCTCCGTGTCTCTCGCTCTCCTCTAGCTCGCCGCCACCCCAGACTTTGCCTGTCTCTCCTGGGTCTGCCCCCTGTGGTCTTCCCTGTATTGTTCTCTGCGCTTCTCTCTCTCTGTCCTCCTCCCCCACCTGCCTCTCTGTCTCTGACTCTGGTCTGTCTCTCTTTCTGCCTCTCTGTCTCTGACTGTGGTCTGTCTGTCTGTGTTTCTGACTCTGTCTCTCTGTCTGTCTGCTTCTTCCTCGCTGTCTCTCCATCTTTGACTCTCTTTCTGTCCTTCTGTGCACCTGACTTTATCTCTCTGTCTCTCTCTCTGCCTCCTCCTTTCTCTCTCCTGTCCGTCTAGCCTTTCTGTGTTGCTGTGTGTCCCTCTGCTTCTGTCTGTTGGCCCCTCTGTGTCTTTCTAACTTTGTCTCTGTCTCTTTGTCTCTTTCTGTCTTTTTGGCTCCCTCTGGCTCTTTGCGTTTCTCTCACTCTGTGTGTGACTCTTTGTCACTGTTTATCTCTCTGACTCTTTCAACTCACTCTGCCTCTCCGTGGATGTCCCCCCTCCCTCTAAGTCACAGACACTCGCCAGCGCAGGCAGACAAGAGGACCCGTGACACTCGGGATTAGGGCTGGTGCAGATGTAAAGCTGTTCTTCACAGCCCCTGTGGACAGCACTTCTGAGAAATAAGACTCAGGCCCTCCTGCCCCCGCCACCCCGGTTGACCCTGAAGGCGATGTGGCCACCTCGTGGATGAAGCCGGGCCCTTATCAGACACACACACGTCACCCAGGCACTTACTGGGCTCACCGCAGGCACCATAAAGGCCAGAGAGGGGAGCTGTTCATTCAGCACCACTGCTGCCCCCTCGTCCTCTCAGATCACATGCCACGGGCCAGCATTGTCACCCCCAAAGGAAAAGGAGGCAAGCCCAACCCCTATGACCCTGAGCTCTGCCAGGGGAGGGTTACATGCCCACCCTCCAAATCAAAATGATTTAGCACTCGTTCATGGTGAGCCAGGCCCCAAAGCAGACTCTTTGTCTGGTCCATGTCTCCTCATCTGTGAGCCTGACTTTGACTCCCCGCTCACCAGGGCCAGTGCTGGGGCTGGGGCCAAGCAGAGTCATCCCAGCGGGCCTGTGTCCTTTCCACTATACCTGCATGCCCCAAAGGTGAAGGTGAGGAGGGGGAGCAAGGAGTCTGGGTTGCAGTAGAACAGGCCAGGGTCCCAGAAGAGACCAGGAAGGAAGGGACTGGGCCCTCCTGTCTCAATGCTGCCAGTGCTGCCTCCCCCATAGCTGACACCACCCCCAGCTCTGACCTCTCACACCATCTTTCCTCATCACACATCAAGACCCTGAGTGGGTTCACCCTACAGGCCAGGCGCCCGGGGCCCGACGGCGGCGCAAAGCCCCCCTGCCCCAGCCTGAACTTGTCACAGGAAAGACTTTGCAGACTCGTTAGGTGGGAGAGCCACTTTGCAGACAAAGGCAAGGAGGGCCCCTCCAGGTCGCTGTCACCTCAGCATGGGGGGAGGCAGGTAGGAGCAGCTGCATGGTCAGGGGAGAAGGTGGGGGCAGTGACAGGGGTCAGTGCTGTTGAGGCCATGGCTCTGCCCAGGGGATGAGCATCCCTGGAGCAGGGGGACTATGTTCCGCAGCTGCAAACAGGGGGCATGATTCGGTATCTGGTGGGCACGGAGGCTTCCCTGTTGCTTTCTCATAGGCTTATGGCATGTGAGGCGCTGCCCCCCAGAAGACCACAGCTCAAGAAGCCAAGGGACAGTGGCACCCCCAGGAAGAACCTGAGATGAGACCCTGCTCTGGGGTCTGGCTGCAGGAGGGGAAGCTGAGGTGGCGTGGGCCAGCGTGTGGGGAGTGGGCAAACTTAGGAGAGGGTGGACAATGGGAGGCCGCATACGCAGAAAAAGCAGGAGGCTAGAGGGACCTGTATTCTTGGAGCTGGGGGCAGGGTCTTAAAGGTCATGCCCTGCCCTTGATTGCAGAGGGGAGGAGATCAAGCCCAGCCCCTCCTGGGCCACCTGTCCCACGCGCACACACATGCACGCACGCACGCACTGCACACTGCGTGAGCCAGGCAAGTCCCCAGAGCCTCAGGCACCCCTCCCCTGCCACCTCGCCCCTCTTCTCTGTCCCCAGGGACCACTCAGAGAAGCACAGGCCCCGAGACTCTCCTCTTCCCTCCCCTTCACTGACTCCAGGAATCCGCTGAAAACAAGTCTCTGCTGTTGGCTGACCGCTTTCATCCTCTCTCTTACTTTTGGTATTAAATATTAAATACGCAAAACCGCACGCAGGCCTATGGATGATTAGCTTCTACATATGCGGGAGTTGGAAAGGTAGGCCTGGGGCAGCCCACAGCGGCATGGTCACTGTACTAGTAATGGCTCACATGGGTGGGTGCATCACATCCATTGTCCCAAATGACCCTCAGGCCAGCCAGTGAAGGCAGATGCCTTTGTCACCTTATTTCTACAGGAGGAAAATGAGGCTCAGAGAGGGCGAAGGGCCCACCCAGCATCACACAGCATGTCAGGATGGAGCCAGGTCACGGTGGGGGGGGGGTGGGTGGTCTGTCTGAATCTGACAGGGCAGGGGCACCAGAGATGCCCACTCACCCCCTGGGAGGGCCTGGGGGCTGCTACTGATCACACCCACTGGGAAGCCCCTCCCTCACTAGTCAGAGTCGCCTGGGCATTGCCAGGAACTCAGCGTGGCAGAACAGACAGAACTCACCTCCCTTTGGGCAGGAAACTTTGGAAATGTGGCTGAAGGACGATCCCGGGTGTGGACCGGGCAGGACAATCATACTCCCAGGCACAAACCAGGCGTCACTACTGCTGGGCGCTGGGCCAGGCCCTTCCCTGAAAGAGCTCCCGTAACCCTGAGAGCAACACCTGGGGGTTCTACTACTATCATCTCCCCCAGATGGGGAAGTGGAGGCCCTGAGGGCTAACATGCACCAGGCCACACAGTGGGACAGAGGTCAGACTAACATGTGCCAAGCCACACAGCTGGACAGAGATCACATTCTGAATTGAACAGGAGCAGAACCAGGAACAAGAGTCCACACAAGAAGTCACGAGAATGAAGCTCATTGCGATAGGAGCTGCCAAGAACGGTGTAGGAAGACATTTCAGTATACAAAGGACGGGGCAGCCAGGCTGATTCCACCATGATACGAAATCACAGCAGACAATGATCATGGAAGACAAAACAAAGCCCCCAGAGCAGGGTGAGCAGGCGTCCACTACAGAATGGGGAGGCTTTTCCCACCGAGTGTCTTGTCACAAAGAAACAGTCCTGGGGCCACTCGAGCTGACTGGCCACAGTTACTCTCACATAGCTGCCATGGTCTGCAGCTTCTATGGGTGGGAGAAGCTCAAGGTAGGCAGAGGCACAGAGACGAGCCGGCCGGACCTGTCAAAGGCAGGTGGATGGTCAGGTAGCAGGATGGCCCACGTGACGTCGCCGGGGTCAGTCCCCAGCTGGGCCCCACCGGCACCGTGGCGCGTCTGAGTGGCAGTGGCTGTGCTAACAAACTAACAGGCTGCACTGTGACTCTTTTCCTTTCCCAATGGTGGCCGCTGGCTTGGCTTTTGTTTGGCAGCCACTTTTAAGGGAAAAGAAAAAAGGAAAAACTGCGGGTACCACCACCTGTGGGTACTCGGATGCCCATAACAATCCTAGACGCAAGCGGAGGTGAGCAGTGCCCGAAGTTGCAAGGAGGCAAGGACTGGGCATCAGGGGAACTGGAATGGCAAGTTGGCCTCTGGCCCTCTGGCCACAGAAGGTGGGCCTGGCCAGATCGCCTCGCCACCGAAATCTCTGCGGCACGTGCAGAGGGCAGGAATGATGCCTCCTGAGAAAGGTGCCCCTGAAGGGGGTGAATAAGAGGAAAGCTCTTATTCTTATTCACCCAGCCCCTGCCCAAGGGCCCAGCCTCGACGGCCCATGGGCCCACACCATCCTGAAAAGGGCAGAGCCCCTGGGCTGCAAGTCTCATTCTGCCTGAACCTCACAGAGGGAAGCCTGTCCCAATATCCCTGGGAAGTCAGCGAAAGAGCCAGTCTGATGAAGCCCTGAAGGACAAGACCCCCAAACACTGTGGGGTGTGGCCAGTGACAATGGTCAGCAGCCCCCAGTGGACAGGTAGCAGGGCCTGACAGGCGGGGCAGGGCCACGTGGGTGAGCGGAGCTTAGGGCGCCTTGAGTGGCCCCGCCCTCCAGCATCAAGAAAGCAGTGGGACCCTGCTACCTGCCCCAGGGCCCCAGGGCAGAGGGAGGTGGGGCAGGAGTGCTGTTCCTGACTGAGGGGCCTCAGGCCCTACGGTAGCCTGAGCACAAAGGTGACACTGGTCCTGGGGTGGCTGGACAGGGCAGAGTGTCCCCGGGGAAAGAAAATCCCATGTCCTCGCAACCAGGTCGCCCAGCAGCTTCCCCACCGCCCTCCCCCGGGTCCTGCGGGGCGGCAGGGCGGGCCACTGCTCTCCAGGGCGAGGGTCTGCAGTGGCAGGGGCAGGGTGGGGACTGCGTGATGGGTGGGGCAGGGCAGCCTGCAGTCTGGGGGCTGGGAACGGCCGCACCCTTCCCCCACCCAAACCCCGCGCTGGCGTCGCAGAGGGTGGTCCCCAGGGCCTGTGGCGAGGGGCGGCGATGCCAGGGGCTGGCGCGGCCACGCTAGAGATGGTTCGTCTGCCCCCCAGCCCTCCCGCAGCGCCCCCCCCGCCCCCAGTCCCCTGCACTCCCCCCTGGCGCAGGTCTGCAGCAGTCCCGCAAAGGCGCGATGTCCTCAGGGTCTGCGGTCCGTGGCGCTCAGTGGACCCTGCCGACACCCTGCGGATGCGCTACCCACGTCCTCGGAGCTCCCTTGCGGCAGTCTCGCCTGGCTACCCGCTAGGCGTTCCCTGGAGCGCGGCCCCGGCCCTCCATCCCTGCGCCACAATCCCGGCTCTGGGCTCCCGGACCCGCTGCCCAGACCCCGGGCTCCTCTTCGCTGCTGTGCCCGGGGTCCGGGACAGTAAACTGGCCAGCGACCAGCCCTGCACCCGGCGAGGCGGACCTGGCCGGCGCAGACCCTTCCCTGGGCACCTACCCGACATGGTGCTGGCCATGGTGCTGCGGGCTGGCGGCGGCTTCGGAGGCTGAGAGCGGGCGCGGCTGGAGCTGCAGTGGCGAATGCTGCAGTGCCAGGGAGGGAGAAGGGCGGGAGGGAGAGGAGGCGGCGATGCGACGCGGCAGGGGCTGCGGCCGTCAGAGGGACGGAGGGGGGAGGAGGGAGGAGGAGGGGGAAGGAAGGAGGCGGAGGGAGGCCAGAGCACAGAGGGCCCAGCGAGAGACACAGGGCGCTGGACTGCCACCCCCTGCAACCCAGACGCGCACCCCACCACCACGGACCCCCACCTCTAGCTTGGTTTCCTGGGGTTTGGGGGATGGTGGAGATGAGCCCCCATTCCCTGGGGGCTGGGGGGGGGCAATGCTGCATGCTGAGAGGAAAACGTGAGGTTGACGGGTTTTGGGTGGGGGCAGATCTGGAAGGGTGCCAGGAGGGGCCTCTCCTCTGGGCCTGGGAAGATGAGCAGGTGTTGCTGTGGCAGAGAAGACAAGTGTGGAGGCCGTCAGGGCTCTGGGTCAGGGGCTTTAAAGTGAGACAGACAGATGTGGGTTTGAACCTCAGGTCTACAGCTCACTCACTGTGTGACCTACCGGGCCTCCATTCTTGGGTGCAAGAGGAGAATTGGTGCCAGTACCCAGCTGCGGATGAGCAGTGTGCACCGGGGAGAGGGCCAGCCCGTCCAGCCTCCTCCTCTCTCCTGGGGAGACCTCTGGGCTCAGAAAGTGCTGGCCAGAGGCGCCGGCCCTGTCCTGCAGTGACTCTCACCACGCTCCCAGGGATGGGAAACCAGACAGACGGAGCATTATCCTGTTTTAGAGACTGAGCCACTAAGACAAAGAGGGTACGTGCTAGCACCACAGCGATGAACAGGGAAGAATACACCTCTAGGACCCGCAGGGGACTTACAGAGGGTGAGGTGGGCTTGGAAAGGCGGAGGAGCAGGGAGGGACAAGAGATGAACCCGCACGGTCTCAGCAGGGCTTATCAGGAGCAGCACACTGTGGTGGCTGAATTCTAGCCCCACACGCCTGGTGTACACATCTGCACAATCCTGGGACTGGGAATCCGACGGCTTGGACGCCCGTGGTAAGGCTGTGTTATGTGGCACAGCGGGCCTCAACATGGGAGAGTCTCTCTGCCTGTTGTAGAGGGGACGTTAGAGAGAGTCAGTGAGAGGAAGGGCCTCCACTATGGAGATGGAGGGGGCCACATGGCAGGGTCCCCAAGAAGAACACCCAGAAGCTGACAGTCAGCAAGACAACAGGACCTCAGTCCTACAGCCACAAGGAACTGGATTCTGCCAACAACAAGCACGAGCTTGGAAGTGGATTCTTCCCCAGAGCCTCTGGATGCGAACTCAGCCCGCCCCCAGCTTGATTTTGGCCTGTGAGTGATGCTGAGAAAGAGCCCAGCCATGTGCGGACTTGGACCTGCTGTGAGCTCATACGTGGGTATTGTTTCAAGCTGCTAGTTTGCAGTAATCTGTTACACAGCATACAAAACTCACCCACACACCACACACACACACACACACACACACACACACACACACACACAGGTGTCGGCCGCTGCTGCACCCCCAACCTTACCCATAGGAGCTGAGCCCAAGGACAAAAGGAGGAGAAGCACACAAAGCTGCTCACAGCGGGCGGCATTGTTTACCGTAGTAGGAGCAGCCATGCCCTCATCGAGGGGCTGTCGGTCCCTGCAGCGTACACGTAGATGGGGACTCTCCATGTCCTGCAGACTCACTCCAGCTCTGGCTTCTGGCATTGAGTGGCATAATCCCTCTCTCCACACCTCCGATCTTCTTGAGGGGATGGGGTGGGTGTGTACAGGCAGGTTTAATTAAGGGGCAGCGTTGCCTCAGACTCACCGTGTAAAAATGGCATGGAGGCAGAGTCTGACCTCCTCTCTCTTCACGAGGGGGAAGGAGAATCAAGGAGAATCAAAATCAACAGCCCAAGGCTGATTCCTAAGAGGCGGAGGTCAGACATGCCTCCTCTCTCTACCGTCTTTACCAATTCTGACACCACCTGTCCCCTATATGGCACTCTCCACTTCTGTGCTGGGTTTGATAATTCATTGCACACAGAACTCACAGACAATACTCAGGATCACGGGGTTTATTAGGGAAGTGACAGCTACAATTCAGGTTCAGAAACAAAATACAGTTCTTCCATCAGAACACCCTCTTCCCAGCTGTGCTCACAGGCACGCTTCTCCTTGGCCCTCTGCCTCTGCCCAAAGGCACTCAGCTTTCTCACTCAGGGGGCCGGGAAGCCCGCCTCGCCTCGCGGTCTCTCCTACTGGTCTCTCCTGCCACGGTTTCTCTGCCACTGCTTCTCACCAATTTCAGGGTTACAGCTCACTGTCTCCTGAGTCCAGAAGCTTCTCAGAACAGGGATCCCAAGTCCAAAGGACACTCTCTCCACTCCTGGCTGTTCTTCCTTGGTGGTGGTGGGAATCTTCTCCCAGCAGAATAGCAAAATTGAACAATCCCTTTGGTGGGCCACAATTATCCTATCACACAGTCCTGCCCAATCACTTGGGTGGGAGTTACAAGACCATAGCTAGAAAGGCCACACAAAAAAGCGATCCATCGCACAGACACGGTGACCTTGGGCATGCTCTCTCTGAGCCTCTGCTTTCTTATCTGGACCTCGGGGAGCAGCTGCACAGGACAGCCTGCAGCGTAGTGCCAGGCACGTGGAGGGGGCTTGAGGGGAGGAGCGTGGGGCAGGGGTGCATGGAGGGCTTACTCTCTGAGTGTGGTGGGGCCCACTAAATGTCAGCTCCACGATGGTGCAGGCCTTGGAGCAGACTTAACCTCCCACCAAGGTCCACAAGAGGCAGTCTGTGAGCAGCCGTGTCAAAGGTGTTTTCCACAAACTGACTCTTTGTAGGTCAGGCCTCCTGAAACTAACCCTGGCCCTACCCAGGAGGAGCCTGCATCTCTGCAGGTCACTCAGTCACTCAACATTCATTGAGCACCTGCCTGTAACCCCACCTGTGTGAGGGTCTGGCCGCCTGCAGAGCTGCCACTCAAGGTGTCTGCAGGGCTCCTGTCTCGGGGAAGCGAGGCAGGGCAGGAGACTTCTCTCTCCTCCAGGAACTTTCCCACTTCCCCTGCACTGGCCCCCAGCACCTCGAGACCACACTTGCCTGCACCTGTCCACAAGTGCCCACTTCTCACGTGTGGGGACTACCTGAAAGCGGGGACCACACTAGCAGGGCTGTGGCCCCAGTGCCTGGCGGAGTGTGGACGTGTGAGTGGATACCCTCAGCAGCAGAGGAACAACATCAGGGCCACGAGCACAGGTCAGGACATGGCCAGCAAGGTGCACCCCTCTTGTTCCCCCCCGGCTGGGGAGGGCAGGATTCTCTTCCAGAGTCTAGGCAAGGAACAATCCCCTCCCTCCAGTCCCGCCACACTCACCTGGGGCAGGTGCAATGAAGCTGCACCCTCTGGAGGCAGCCTATGGGCAGGGTGGGGGTGAGGGTGGAGGAGTCCCTGCCAGGCCCAGGCCCGGGTGAGAGCTCACACAGCAACTGGCACCGAGCAGACAGACGTTCGGAGCCATTCTGCCTGGCTCCCATCAAGTACTTTCAGCTGCAGTCACGTTCACCTTCATGACACCCCCATGGCGGTGCTGTCCCCCCCTTGGATGGAGTGACGAGGCCCTGTGCTCATCTGCTCCCCTCTTCCCTCCACATCACAGGTTTTCTCTGAGTTCCTCACACACTGGAGGGTCCACCACCCCTGAGGGACCCACAGACAGCACCATGTCCAGAGCCAGCACAATGCTGTCCCTGGGGCGGCCTTCTTCGCTGCTGTGTGCAGGGTCTGGGACAGGCAATCCGGCTCTAGACCAGGTCAGGCCCCTGATCTCCCTCCATTGTGCTCATCACAGTGTGTGACACATCGTGTGTGTGGGCGGTAACATCGGTCCTGCTGTCCTGATGGGGTCCCGTCCACCGTGGGGGTCCCACAAAGCCTGCCAGGGCAGATGCGCAACAGATTGTTATTGATGGGAATCCCTGTAGCCCGTCAGGTCAGCCTTGGTTTCCTTTGCCCTCCACTCTCAAGCTTAGGTCAGTACAACGGCATTTGTGTGCTATAATTTACAGGCGCTGTGCAGGCCAGCTTACGGTCCCGTAAGTGCAGTGGGGCCAGAGGGCCTCCCCCTGTGCATGGGCGGCTCAGCATCGACTCAGGATCTAGGGCCTCAGCTCCAGTTCCAGGTCCTGGGTCTCTGGGTTCTGGGGGAATGAAAGCAGCTGTTGTCAGGAGAGGGAGTGCAGTGGTGAAGGGCTGGACTCCTGGCTCCACAACGTGCCAGCTGCTGGCTCCGGGCAGTCTACTGACTGCTGTGCTTCCCTTTCCTCACTGTAAAGTGCAGATAAAAGAGGGGCTTATCTCAGAGGTGGTGAAACCAGTGCCTGGTGAGCACTCAGTGAATGCTGCTACCTTCTCTAAGTTCCCTCTGAGATTCTGAGATACATACCCTGCAGTCCGTTCATGGGCGATGGCGTGGGGTGGATGTGCTGTGTGCCAGGGGCGTCCCCAAGCACACTGTCTCACACACCAGCACAGACACACGTGGCTTAAAGCAAGAATCCATGGAAGGCCTCGGGACCTATTATAGCACCCGTCAGAGCTCTGAACCCACCATCTCTGGGGGCCCTGGCCCTCACAGCAGCGTTAATTTCCCCTAGTGCCTTTTGGGACAGCTGGGGTCGCCTGAGATGAACATCCCCGGCTGCCTGGCACAGAGCGGATCCACAGAACTGTGCATCCCCTCTCCCCTGGAGGTCCTTCCTGGGGACTCAGAGGGGCCACCCTGACCAGTGGGGTTTCTAACCAGAAAAGCAGCTGGACGAGGGGAGGGTGAGGATAGGGGCTGGTGAGGGGCTTGGGAGGCCGGTCAGGGGCACCGGGCGGCCATTTGTAGGTTTAAGAGAGAGGGTGACTGGCTCAGACTCAAGCCTTCCAAAGATGCCTGTGGGTGTTGAGAACAGGAGAGACAGGAGGAACCCATTAGGAGGCTTGAGCAGTCTACATGCGACGTGGTGCTTGACCTAGGTAAGAGGTCGTGGGATGGTGGCCCTGGTGGGGGACGACTTCGAGGGCGGAGACGGACAGGACCCCACGTCTACCCACGTGCAAGGGAGGTGCTGCGGAAGAGGTACGTACCGCTCCGGATGAGGCTCGCAGCCGAGAGAGAGGCGGACCCCTCGACCTAGGGAGCGGTTCCCGCCGGGAGCGCCGCGCCGCGGACCGGAAGTGTTCCCGGAAGTGCAGCGCTCTTTGGCGGCGCGTTTCAGCCCGCGAAGTCGGAAACGACTGACAGCGGAGGAGCGGGTGGCGGCGCTCCGCCCGGAATTGGTGCGTTCCTGGGACCCCCCAGCCCTGGAGCCTGTCCGCGGGGACCCCGGGCCTGGTTCTTTCGGCCAAGCAGCTCGTGGGCGGGTCGCGGTTTCCTAAATGCAGCTCCCGGCAGCCCCTCGCCGCCGTGGGCCGGCGGTTCGGCCGCGCTGAGCCCTGGGACGCGTAGTCCCCGCGCTGGGCGCTGCATTTCCCTGTGACTAGGGCCCCGCAGGGAGTGACTGTCTCTCAGTGTTTAGCGTCTGGCTTTCTCAGTGTTCAGACGGAACTGAGGTCCAGAGAAGTTGAGTCACTTGCTCAGGGTTACACAGATTTGAAGCCAGCTCAGAACCACACATGCTCTTTCGCTACACCTGGTTGCCCAGGTGGGAGGGATGGAGGATGGCCCCCGAACAGCCAAGGCAGGTAGGGGGCTGGAGGCAGGAGGTTCTGACACTCCACCCTGCCCGCCCGGGCACTGCTGGGACCTCAGCCTCCACCTCACTCGGGAGTGGGTGAAGTGTTGCCGGTAGAGCGTGTGGAACTGTGTGACTTGAGGAGCCTGGCTGCTCTCCTAGGGTAGGATGGAGTTGCGTGGGGCAGAGAACGAGGCAGGGCAGACCGCCCCCCCCAGTATCTTCACCTGTCCAAGCTCCTTCTAACAGGCCTGCCTTCAGACCTTCACTGGGGGGACTTCCTGAGATGGCTGGCTAAGTGTCCTGTTACTTAGGAAGGCTGTTTACAAACGTCCATGTCTGTGCCATAGGGGTTGCCGTGGAGAACAACATTCTGTCCCCTTTCCACCCCGACATCGCTTGCCCGCAGTGACTGAGATCTGAGATGTTCGTAGGAGGTTTTGTCTCTCAGACGTGAACAGCGTGCCTGTCGGCCCGTCTCTGTGCCCTCCTGAGGAACAGCCAGCATGCCCAAGGTCATCCTGAACGGTGTGACAGTGGATTTCCCGTTCGAGCCATACAGATGCCAGCAGGAGTACATGGCCAAGGTCTTGGAGTGTCTGCAGAAGGTAAAGCTGCAGGCCCTGAGGGGCTTGTGTGTGGGGAATGGGTCTGCACCCAGCCAGCCTTCACAGGGGCCTATGTGCTCCCACCTCCCGTGTACTCAGACCAGCCCTCCTGTGCAAGGGGAGTGATCTAGACACCAGAATTTGGTTGTAAATAGGGCTTATGTCCTCGTTAGGTAGGAGAGACAGTGAACAAGTAAACAGAAAAGGAATTTGAGATGGTAACGAATGCTCTGAAGGGCAAAGAAGGGGGTGGATTGAGGCGCTTGGGCTTCCCTGAGAGGGGCACATTTGAGCTGAGGCCAAATGATGCGGAGTAGCTGCTGTGGAGACAGCTGGAGGCAGTTTCCATGCAAAGAGGACAGCTGGTGCCCTGCCCTCGTGTGGAAGGCCTTAAATCTCTCCAGGTGTGCAGGGAGGGGCCCGGGGGGGGGGGGCGCAGGTGTGCTTTCTGTGGTTCCTTAGTGTGACCTCCTGTACCTGCTTGGCTCCCCAGCCCTGGGCTCTGCAGCTGTGACCAGCGGGCTCCTGTGGCCTGTGTGCGCTCAGCCGCCTGCATGGAGGTGGCTACAGCCCATGCCTGTAGCG